ATCGTGATCGTGATATACATACATACATACATATATATATATATATATATATATATATATATATATATATATATATATATGTATATATATATATATATAGACTCTCCCGTCGGTTGCGACGGATGAGGATCTGACAACTTAATTGATTCAGTTATGAAACTGTGTGCGATAAACTTAAGTGGCACTTAAGACCCGCTAGTGATTTACAAAGAAGGACGCATATGATGCAAGAGTGGGGATTGGGGGGGTGATGAGTTCACTGTTAGATTGGCTGACCTTTTAGATCTTGTTTTTGTTTCTTGAAGACGATTCAGACAATCAGATTGAAAACTGCTGAGTCCACTAAAACACGTTGATCTCCATATATATATACATATACATACATACATACATACATGCATACATATATATATAATATATATATATATATAAAATCAAATTGATTTTCAGAAATCATATTTTTATTTCTTTTCAGAAATACTCTTTTTGGCGTTGCTTTTTACGAAAATGATATTTTTTTGCAAAATGGTGTTCACCCTATACAAGGCCCAAGAGTCACTCGAGGTAGATGGTTACAAACTAAGAGGAAGTGTTTATGGTAATATGTGGAGAAGTTAATGGAAATTCTTTCATTAGGAAGAAATGGCATTATTTTTTTTATGAAGATAGTAATGTTATTAGTAGCAATGCACAAGAATCGAGCAAGTCTATTGTCATTAGCAATTTGTTGAAGAATTCCGAAACTTATAGACATTAAGAAATAAACAGAAAGACAAGCCAAGATGGCCACTGCAGGCTGTCGTCGGCTTCTTGGAATCGTATCAGAAAGTGAACTGTTACAGAATCCCCCGAAATAAACTTGATCTTCATATAACCGCATGAAATATTCAGAAAATTCTCAGCGAATCGAGACACCAAACAGCTTCTTTAATGATCATAACGAAAAGCAATCCGAATGGAGATGGAAGAAATCATGGAACAATGAAAGAAGAATGGTGTTCTCTCAAAGGATGAAGTTCAGTTTAGATAGTTCTGTTGGAATATAATGCTGGAGACTCAATCTTAGAACGGATGTGTAAGTTTTCATTTTTTTTTTTATTCCAAATCCGATTTTGTAGAGAATCTCTTATAGTGAGGAGAAAAGTGTCATCCAATGGAATCGCTGATTCGCGTATTTAAATAAACAGCTGAAAAAAAAATAGATCTTAAAATAAAAAGTGATGTAAACTTTTTAGCTAAATATCAGCACACACCCGCACACACACACACAAACATACACGCACAGATACCCACATTTAAATAAATATGTAATTGGTTGGGTAATTAGAACGCTAAATACGACTGAGAAGGTATTTCTATTAAGATTTTTATTTTTCTTGTGTACGTATAAGTGTTTTTTACTTTCCTCGGCAAAATATGTGTAAAAATTATTCAAATGTTCTGTATGTCCGAGGGCTTTCGGCTATTCTGTTAGCCATTATCAAGGATGTATTTTTTTTTTACATCTAACTAAATGTGTAGATTTTTATATATGCTTCGAAAGTGATCGAAATTTTTATTTTTCAAGCACGGTCAGCACTGTGTGTCCGTGTTCATAATAGATGTTTATTGAGTTTTTTCTTTTATTATTAGTGCTTTCAATATTTTTACTCTTTTTTTACACGTGGATGAGGCTATTGTATTTTCTACAAGTGTGTCGCAGATAGAATTTGGTAGGTTTCCACGTGAATTTTAATGAGTCCTAATTGAGCTATGGTCAGAGTGATGTAACGTGAGCATTCTTGACAAGAATGTAATGGTGTGTTCAATATAATTATTCATGAATTTAGTTTGATCAGTAACTCAGTTTCTTAAGGTACATGTGAATTCGTGAATGAGATTGGATCTCTGTAATGTAGATCTTACAGGTGAGTTGATGCTGCTGACGATGAGGTGAGCTGTTTAACATTTTTTATAGTAGATAATTTGATTTTTTTGTTTTGGTTGACTGGGGTTGTGTATTTCTTTATAATGTTTCTAAGAAAACATTAATTTTGCTTATAGTTAACGTGTATTTGATTTTTATAGAAAATATTACTGTTATTGTTTTTATTTGTATGTTCAATGTTGCTACCGGTTATCTTAGAAATAAATAGTCGAATTTGCTTATCTGTGAGGTAGTTCGGAAAACAGTTATTAAGTAGTCTCTCTCTCACTGTGTCTCTCTCTCCATATATATATATATATATATATATATATATATATATATATATATATATATATATCAAAGGTTCAAACATAATATTCCATGTTTATAATTTATTACATTGGAATCGTAATCTCGATCCAATTCATCAGATCTACAAATTCAAAAAGCTTTTCGGAATTTGTAGGGCTGATGAATTGGATCGTGATTAAGATTCTAATGTAATAAATTATAATCATGGAATATTAGAGTTTAAGCTTTTATATCATATTCTAGGTCTGTCCTAGACATTGTCCTCTACCTGGATTATATCCTCTTGGATATATATATATATATATATATATATATATATATATATATATATATATATATATACTATATATATATATATATATATATATATATATATATATATATATATATATATTATATATATATATATATATATATAATATATATATATATATATATATATATATATAGACCTAATATATATATATATATATATATATATATATATATATATATATATATATATATATATATATATATATATATATATATATATATATATGTATGTATATGTATATGTATGTATATTCATATATATACTGCGTATATTTTGGCAGTATGTTTTCATTAAGACATGTCTCATTAAATAATTTAGACAAATTTTGGGTACTTAATTTTAAAAGGGTTCTCTCTTAATTATGGACATATCTCTTAGTATCTTTATTAAAGGGAGAAGGAAAATTATCATGTTGATGCATATTCATTTTATTCCGAGTAATGATGAACAAGACCCTGATGACAACATTGTGCTAATATATATATATTGTGTTTATATATATATAAAAAGGTTAATGGTCAGAGTTGAATCTGCCCAAGGAACAGTAGTTTTAAAAAGTGCTCAATACACGTGAGAAAATAAAATATAAGTAAAAATAAAAATAATATGTAGAGCTTTTAAGTTTAAAAATCACAGGTTCAATTAAAATAAAGACATGTCTCATTAAATAATTTTGATAAGTTTTGGTTACTTATTTTTAATAGGATCCTCTCGTAATTACGAACAAGTTTCTTTGTATCCTTATTATAGGAAGAAAGAAAATTACCATGTTCCTTTTATTCCTAGTGCTTTTGACATTAACACAATGCCGTGCACAGTATCTTATTTTTTCTACGACTAAGCAATTGTTGCTTTACATTATTTTCCTAAGTCAAAACTGTTCTGTACATCTGAGAATTAAATTTTGTACGTGTGAAGAAACAACAACAACAATAATAATAATAATAATAATATTATGGGGTCCACCCTTTTCGGATATAATGGACTCGTCCTGCTGCCATAAAATAGCCACAGTCAGGCAGAGAAGAGGAGTCGTACATGAGTCGTACCGGAGTCGTCTGTGAGTGTCGGTAGTCAGATAGAGTGAGGTACCCTCTTGTAGAAGTCAGTTACAAGCACGTAGACTCTAAGGAAGTCCTACTTCGAGACTGTATATATCTATCTGTATTTGCTACTAACCGTGTTCCTGGATTTTACTAACAGCATTACCTTTTGTATTTTGTGTAAATACATTTAATTTCTTAGCTTAATTACTTGCGTTTGGATACCTATTTTTCACGCGGGATCCACAACAAATAATAATATATTTTAAAGGCAAATTAAATAATGGGGGCCGAGATTCAAATAGATTTTGTTAACAGTAGGTTGCTTTCTTTTAATGTAAAGAGATTCCAAGATTAGTAATTGTTTTTTTTTTTTTTTGGCAGTTAGAGAGGTAAAGAACTGTTTTATTTTCGACCAAAATATAACAGAAATTAGCCACCGTAGACTCACTTGACTAGTATCCCGTTTTTCCAATCTACGAGGTGCCATTTCAGTTCTTATTTACTTCACAACAGTTATTGCATTATAATGGTCACGACCAAAAGAAAAATCACAATCTACCTTATGGCGATATTGTGATTTTATTTAATGAATTTTGTATTCTTTCGCACCGTACCATCTTCCTACGTGCTTGTTGATTTTTAATGCAAGAGATATGACCATGTCATTAAAATAATCAACATTTCTGGTTTAGTGAAAAAAAACCCTCGACGAACAATTAACCGATGCAAATATCTCTGCCAGTAAGCAGTCAGTCTAGTAATTATACAATCTGTGCAGCCTCCAGGTGTCAATATATAGAGATTTTTAAGTAAAGACAACGGGAAAAAGTCAACAACACGATTTTCTTTAAGTGGGTGTCGACATTCGAGCTAGGATTATCAAAAGATTGGAAGAACACATTGTAAGTATGATGGCTTCAAGCAATTCTTTCAAGAATAGAGGTATTTCGAAGAATCTGGAGTTTGGAAGGGGAGGCGAACAATAATGGAATTAAATTCTGATGGGACTGACACTTTTCAAGCCTGCTTCAGGTTAATATTTTGCCCATAAGCTTGAAGTAACATCAGGAAGAAAACTTTTTTTTGTTCACCAACACATATACATATATGTACATAACTCGCAGTCATACGTTTTTGTTCATATGTTCTTATTCTCTTATTTCTCGAATTAATACACACACTCCTTTATCTTTTACACACGCTCTCCTCTTTCCACAATCGTATTCTTTCATCACACGTTTATCTTTTTTTTTAATCTCTCTTTATCATATACACACTCTCTCATAATTACATTCTGCTTCTCCCTCTATTTTATCTCCCACCCACTCTACACTTTCTCATGCACATTTTCCCTCCCTTTTTTTCTCACGTACATATTTTCTTCAACTTCTATCTTTGAAACGTATCCCTTCTTTCTCAGATTTTTCTTCTTTTCTTTCTCAAGCACTCTCTTTGTCTCTTCTACACTTTTTAAGCTTGGACCCTCTGGCACTTTTTAGATCCTTTTTCTCCCTCATACTCTCTTTTCTCTCTTTGCGAAACGCACACCTTCTCTTCTCTATCAGTGACACTACCTCATTATCTATTTTTTTTTATTCTCCCGCTCTCTCTCACTCTTCCCCCTTTTTATGCCTTCTTTTTTCGTATATATACATTCTTTTCCTTCCCGCTCTTTTCTCTCACACTCCTTTATACACTCCCATCTTTTCTCTCACACAGATTCTATTTCTTGTTATAATACACTTATATCTTCGCTTTCAAACACATCCCCACCACAGTTCTCTTTTGTCCCTGACACATTCTCTCTCTCTTTCTTTTCGATTATAAATAAATGTAATTTCTTTCTTTTTCTCTTTTAAAACATTTCCTTCTCACACACTATCTCACCCCCACGTCTCTTTGATGCATACACTCACACAAATATAATGAGATATACAGCGTATCTATAATCTCAGAATCGATTGTCTGAGCCGTAATTCGATCTACTTTTTCTACTCCGGCCGATATGCTGTTATTGTGATTGTATCGAAGCGGAGGATGGTTTTCTTAATTGAGAAAGAAATCAAGAAAGCTGTCCAGTGTAAATAAAACAGACATTTTCTGTCAGCCTTTGGGCGTTCGCAATCACACCCCCTGTCAATACAACATGTATGTGTGTATTAAGCCACTTCTTTTCGCCTACTTTTCTATCTCCTTTTCAGAGAGGAAAAAAATCTTCATAGAAACTCAAGATACGAATTTCTTCCTCTGCCCCTTTCAATTTAAACTATAATTCAATTGGAATAGAAACCATCTTAAGTTATTCAGTGGCAATAAATAAGACTTGAAACTAAATTTTCCATATGTTACGTATAATACTTACTATTTACTCACAAGGAACGTCATATAAAACTTATAAAAAAACTATAGAACAATGACTACCTTGTAGTTGATATTGTAATCGGGTTCAAACGCAGAATAAATATATATTGATTCTTAATTTATAAGGGTATGCAAAGCATTCACGCGTTGGAGATTGGCGCAACATAATCTTTTCTACTCGATTTTGCTTTTTTTAATCAACTAAGCAAGCACGGTGGAGTAATGGATAACAGCTTGGATTGAGGAATTGGAGAACCGACTTCGAATTCCAGTCGATTCCATTGCATTCACTTGCGTGATAAATACCTTTGGGAAAGGTATGAATCCTCTTTTTTTCACCCCCAGCTATGGGTAAATAGCAGGACAGACCGGGTTCTTTAGCCTTGGATGGCAACTGGTTCTAGCTCAAAAAGAAATGGCACCCTAATGCGGGAAAAAAATCTGCCTCGTCAGTCACGTATCGAAAGATAAATGATCGCCTAAGCGTGTATCACTTATGGCATATAACTGACTGAATCTACTAAACCGTCTGTTGTATGCTACTCAGTATGATTTGTGAGTCTGGAACGTTACGGCGTTCTTTTTCTGATTAGATATCCTAAAAATTTCATTGACTCAATAGCATTCTAAACATGACCACTTGAATGAAACGGACGGTTTTGCTTCCTGAAACTTGTGAGTTCAAATTTTAGTTCGATAATTGCACGAACGGAGATCGTAGGACAATTCAACAAACAAAAAGGAGAAAATAACAAATTCAGTTATCAACCAGAAAAGACATTATATGTGACAAAAATCGAGAAATAGAGATAATATAGATTCAGCACCCGCTCACATCTGAACATCGGGATCGTCATCCTCTGTCCTTATTCCCTTTCTCTTCGGTGGCGGAGATGGTTTTGAAGGAGCAGTCTACTCCTGAAGAGTAGTCGAAAAGAGATTGAAGAGGGCATTCGTGTGAATTTGATTTTGGTGGACAAATCTGTGCGACGGAGAAACCCACACACTTGGCCCGAAGCGCCTTCCTCGTGACTCAAAGTGGAATTCTGACGAGCGGGATTTGGCAAACCTTGTTGCAGGGGGGTTGTTGAATGCTGGATCTGTCAGTGTCAGCCTTGATTATTCCAGGCTAACTGGTGCTTCCCTCTTCCGGCGGTTTGGTCGTTCATATCGTCTAGATCTTTCACTGTCCCGCTGTTGCGGTCTTCGCTGGTTAGTCGCATTCGGTCTGGTCCCTTCTCCCATGGTTGGCCCTATAGGAGTTGAAACTAAAGACGGCTTCCCTTTTGGGATCACTGGGACAAGTAAGCCATCTAGCATGAGAAGGAACGGCCATATATATTTTAGAGTGGATGTCGGAGAACAGTTCGTTATCAAATATATCATTTTAAGTTATTTTTTACTCTAATTGCAATAACAGAACAATAGAAACAAATAAAAAATAATAAAAGTATAAAATTATCATTACATATATGAGAATCAGTCAAGTTATTCTTTTTGTTTACTTTTTTAACTGATTCACATTGATAGATATTATATATATATATATATATATATATATATATATATATATATTAAAATGATAAATTATAGAAACAGAAGCGATTATCAGTTAAGCATGTGCAGTACATGTGTTCATCTCTGCTCTGGAAGGATCTCCGGTGTGTTGTGTCTTTTTACCGTTATTTTGAAAGAAAATCCATTATTGACACCATGGACCCGAAGAAAGTAAGTGTAAGGATCAGTGGTGAAAAGACGATATATATATATATATATATATATATATATATATATATATATATATATATATATATATATGTGTGTGTGTGTGTGTATGTATGTATGCATTAGAATGATAAATTATAGTTTTAAGTTAAGCTATATTTATGGGTTTCAGAGCGCAGTATCAAGGACAAAGTGTATATAAATATAAAAAGTCCATATTCAGGTCAACACCTAGTGACGTCAATCTGCTTCATGGTTAAACTTGAGGCCATCCTGAATGATATGAAAACTGAATTAAATATATATATATATATATATATATATATATATATATATATATATATATATATATAGTAATGCTTTTGAGATACAAGCGTATCGACATACGAGTTTTTGTGATACAACACAGAGTTTGTCCGATTTTTTGCCTTGAGATACGAGCTGAATTTTGAGATAGGAACAAGTTTCAGCTTTGCATCGGCAGTATACGTGTCCACCTCTGCTCTGGTAAGATATTTGTTGTGTTGTGTCTTTTTTGTCGTTACTTTATATATATTATTTTAAAAGATTTATATATTTTATAAAACACATAAGCACATAGTAATATCTTGAGATATGACCGTACCGACATAAGACTTTTTTTGTGATACGTACCAGAGTTTGTCCGATTTTTTGCCTTGAGGTACAAACTGAATTTTGAGATAGGAACGAGTTTCAGTTAAGCGTTCGCAGTATATGTATTTATCTCTGATCTGGAAGGACCTTTGGTGTGCTGTGTCTTTTTGCCGTTATTTTGCAAAATTCCTTTAGTGACACCATGGACCCGAAGAAAGTAAGTGCAAGAATCAGTGGTGAAAAGACGAAAAATATGATTTCTCTTGAGGTAAAGCGGGAAATTATAAAAAAAATCATAAGAAAGATGTACGAGTAATGAATTTGGTGAGACAGTATGAGCGTTCTACATCGACGATAAATAAAAAAATATAAAATTTTAAAAATTAAAAAAATATAGTTACAGTAACGGATAAAATGTAATTTTATTTTTTAAATTAAGAATTAAGTTAATTTTCGGTATCGTAGACAAGGTTAGCCGGTGCTAGACCAGCTGTTGTTGCCCCCCTCGCTCCCTCTTCTCTGTCAGTCGGCCTGTGACACGACTGAACTTCATGGTTTAGTTAAGTTTATTTGTTTACAATTACTTTTTTGTCTTTTATTTTATTGTTTGTAAACTACATTTCTTGTTTATTCACACGCTTCTGCTTGCAAGATTTCCACGAATACAAAAAAAGGGCTGATCTTTAAGTGCCTGGAATTGATCGAAAATATAAAATAATTTCAATGGGGAAGTCTTTTGGGGTTTTGGAACGAATTAAACTCGCATCTTAAGGCATTACTATATATATATATATATATATATATATATATATATATATATATATATATATATATTAATGCAAATTTTCGTTAAATAATATAGACAAGTTTTGTCTATTTATTTTAAGTAAATTCCTTTCATATTGTCGAATAAGCTTTTTAGCATTATCAATATTATATATACATATATGTGTATGTATGTGTGTATGGGTACAAATGAGTTTACTAATTCCTCATAGTAAGACAGTATATGTATGGAGGGGAAATATACGCACGCATATATACACGCATGCTGACAGAAACACACGAAAATGGAAACAGATCTAAGAACGCACAGGGGTCAGTAACACATTAAAAGATAAAATGCCGATAAGTAATTCATCATTTCTCTTGGGCCAACCTTAATTGTTTTATGACCCTTCGCGCAGAACTCTTCATTGCCAATTCAAAAAAGACATTCGGATTATTAACACAAAAACAGAGAATGTCTCATATCGAGAATATTTAACATTGAAAAACATGAGGAAAAAATTAATTATTTTTAATAATACGTGGAAATCTACCTTTTTACCTGAAGACGGTCACGAGACCAGAAACGCGTGTAGTAAAATTATGGAAAATAAAGCATAATATTTTTTTCTCTAAAAAAACATATTACAACCAAAAACGTTTGCGGCACCTCTCTTCTCTTCTTTTTAATATACAGACTTTTCTCTCGTTGGAACCACTACAACCTCTTTCTTTTATATATATATATATATATATATATATATATATATATATATATATATATATATATTCTCCATCAAGACATTCATTTCTGTAGTTCCCTGCTTCCAGCAAGCAGAAATATTTCTTCTCCTGATGATGGCCATTTTGGCCGAAACTTGTCGAGGAATCTAAATGAAATAATAATAATAATAACGAAATAATATTTATCTACAACCCAGTGTGTCTGAAGATTTTAATTTTTAATATTTTTTATTGTTCAATATATATACAATTATATATATATATATATATATATATATATATATATATATATGTGTGTGTGTGTGTGTGTTTGTGTTTGTGTGTGTGTGTGTGTTTAACAATAAAAATGTTAAAAAATATAACGTTCAGAAACACTGGGTTGTATATTAATATTTTTTTAAAATTTTTATTATTTAAATTAGGTTTCATAACTAGTTTCGGCCACCATTGCCATTATCAAGAGAGAAAAACTAATCTCTTTTTTTATCGTTAATTTTTGTCAGTCCTTGTATTGGTTAAATCGGGTCACTTTCAAGTTTTTAAATAGAGGCTTGAAGATTCACGAGTTTCAGAATTTCCTCCTTAGACATTTTGACAACTTTATTGTTTGCTTG